AACAAAGCCACGAGGCTTACCGCCAGTACGAACTCGACAGGCTTCAGAGACAATGGCAAATGAGAGCGATATTTTGCACCTATGGGCGGCTAGTTTTGCCGTGACGGACAGTTTGGGACGGATGCGATCAAGTCATTATGAAATATGCGCATATTTTGGCTGCCCATCTGGTAACTATGCACTGGGTTTGATATACGTATTAATATCCGGCCAGTCGCTGGCTTGATTTAGGCGTTAGTGCGTTGCGTCCGAAATAGTATTAAAACAACTACATTTGTCGCTTCCCTTTCGATTGCTGGCATCACCGTGGGTGTAACAGTGTTGGGCTGGCTCCGTGATTTACGCGCGGTGCAGACACTTGCACAATGCATTCAGCTTTACGTTGTTTACTCAATGTCATCAATTCGACGGCCCCAAAGTCGCCGAATCTGCTGTTTGCGCACGAGCACACGCGCACGTTCATCCGTTCTTTTCCTGAGCGACTGTCCGTTTTTTTCGAGCAGAAATGCACTCATTCCTTTTCCGTGCCAAGCTTACTCTCGTTGGCGAGTTATTAACCGGTTTTCATCGTGTGCTCTAGCAACTTTTAGTATTGACGACTTTCGCGCTACTTCCATTCGTCTTGTTCACCCTATTACAACCCCCCTCGCTCAAAATCCTGTAGGCCCACTACGGGGCTTACCAGATTAGCCAATTCACGTATTGTGGCCGACGATGCGTGACTAGCTGCATTGCAATCGCATGTGGGCCAACACAGTCATACGTTCTTGTCTCTGTCGAATATTTCGGTTCCGCGTTGCTATTGTCCCTGGCTCACAAAAGCCTAGTTACGCATATAACTATCCGTTGCGGACGCTTGAGCATACCAATATTACCTAGGACCGCCAGTGCAAGCTCGGACAGTTGCTGTGTTAATGTGTTGTCATTGGCAGATCGTCAGATGAGAGGGGCATTGTGCACCCACGAAAATGACGTGTTTACATCTACAAACATTTTGGGTAATTGCGACCAACGAATCATAAAATACGCAAATAGTTTGGGTGGAGATTACCTAACGTGAACCGGACCTTACGTTTATGTCAGTTTCATTGGACCAGTATGCTCTGTGTAGTCGATAGCTTGTGGTCGATTTTATTTCAGAAAACGTGACGTTGGCTGTTTCTCGGTGGATGGCTGGCGTCTCTATGGGTCTGATGGTATTCAGCTGGCTAGATTTGTAAGCGGTGCATGCACCTGGACGGTGCAGTCGGTTTCACGTCTCTATCTGCTGGGGTCACCGAGGTCCGAAAACCCTGAAAAAAACTCCCAAACCGTCGAATCTCCTGTTTGTGCACGAGTGTATGGCCGTAAACATCAATGGGACTGTACGATTGTACGACTGAGACTGTACGATTGCTCATTTCTTTCCCACTCGAAATGCGTCGAAACGTTCCACTACCTCCTCATTGCCGGGCTCTGAACTGGGCTGTGACACGCGTTTCAGTGCGCTTTTTTTTGCTTGTTGTGAATTGTGTGTTTCGCCGGTTTAGACCAATGGGGTGTGTTTGCATGCGCCGACGGGGCACCACCGGTCGCATCCACTCCCAGATAATGCGGTAATGCTATCCTGCTTGCCAAGCCACACACCGAATCCAAATTTCAAGTGCCGGCTAGCTGGCACCGGGCCGTAGCTGTATTTGTGCATGATAGACGAACAGGTGTTGGAGAATGTATAATATAGACTAGGGAACTCTATAACTCACAGAATGTGTGATGTGGACTGGAAGGCCAGCATTGCACGATGTTCATTGTGTGAACTTAAGGCAACTTGTATGCATTCTTTTTACTTGAAGTGGACCAGCCCACATATAGGACACGTTCGGTTGCGGGAAAATTATTCAACGAATAATTATTTCTCCGATTATCATCCGCGGAGATTCTCCATTTGCGCGCGGCCTGTCCGAAAATTATCCCCCAGGTTAGTTTCCCGTGCGCCGTCCACAGCCAACACTCATAGCTCTGCATAGCGAAAACAGATTCTCCGTCTTGACCATGCTCTGAAAATTCTCTGGGATTCTCCCTCTCTACGGAAAATTATCTGGGATAAGTTCCCGTGTCAGCAATGCCGAACGCCATTCCGGAAAATTCTCAAACATTCCGGATAATTTTCCGAGATTATCTGCCGGCCGAACGCGCCCTTAATGGTTAGTCGCTTGCTCGAAAATCGACTACCGCACGAACTACATAGGCTAACTCACATATTGCGTGCGATAGCATGCGACTACCTCAGCTGAATCGTTTCGTCCGGTTTAGCCATCGGCTACAGATGGCCGGTGACGTGGTTGAATATGCGCCGCACAGAAAGCATCAAGCAACAGGAGCGTGCGCAAAATTTCGTAATAGTGGGAGGCACCTATAAGTTTCACTGGAAACCGTCTCTAGCATGCTGCAGGCGCGCACAATTCCTTGCGTGTCGTAAAACGTTGCATATCTCGATCTTCTTATGCTAAATGCCTTCCCGGAATTTTTAACTGTTAACATTTGGTAACGCACATACTGATGCATACTTTTTACCTTGTGTCTGCATGGCGGGGCACGTGACCCGGGGTCTAAAGGTGCGTACGCCCCTGTCAAACAACAGCGGGTACACACTCGCGACTTTAATGCCAGTTCGTAGGTGGCGGCAGGCCAGCGAATGAGCATGGCATTTTGCCCCCCAACGGTGAGTGGGGGTGAGCGAGTTGGAGAACGTACCTCGGTTGCGGTAAGTTCGTGCGTGGTTGCAAATCGTGCTAGATAAAAACAAGATAAAACACAGCATCCCAGTCGATAACGTTAGTTTCCTCTAATGACACGTAATGCGACCGTTTTAGTTTTTCACCTCTAGTCCATTCAGTGGCGGGTTCAGGATTCCGCCAAGGGGGAGACACGCAGCATTGCGGGCCCCCTAGAGTTTGGTATTCCCCCCAACAAAGTTTTGCATTCCGGCCATTATATTTTAAGATCTGATGTATCCCCTTTTGTAAACGGAAACCCATCTTACGGTGTGCAGCTCTAAACAACTAGGCCCATGCCCATGCAGGCCCACATATGGAGCCTACTCATTTCCCCCAGATCATGGTAGAGCCTGTCATTTTGGGGCTAAGTATTTCGGGAAAAATATGGCCAGCGATCAAGAGCGCGCAGGCATGTTTACAGATAGTGTCCCAATAGCAGCCTAGAGAAAATGCAAACAAAGGTCAAGGGCAGCGTGGTAGGCTCCTCAACGATCGGACTAGCCCGGCAAGTGGACATGTAGAGGCCCTGACAACAGCGTGCGGCCTTTGGACAGAGCAATGCGCCTCAAAATCTCCCCTAATCACTGCCCTCTCAATCAGCAAGGAATTACCACGGGCTTCTCACTTTCGCTTGCGATTATTCTTGGTCGTCTGGAGGCCAAAAACGTCCAATTGTGTTGTGTTTTGTGTCAGAAAACTGCGTCTGTTCGGCCGGTGATAGACCCATTCGTGGCCTATGGGCCCATCCTGGGCACGGGGGGGGGGGGGGGCATGGCCCGTGCCCCCTTCTGGATCTGCCACTGGCCCGAACTGCCTTCCATATGGACCCAACAAGAGCACAGAACACTCCATTCAAATAAGAAGTACCCAAGACACAATGTAGAGGGCCAGAAACCATCGAGTGTGCCCGAGGATGTTAACAGAAGGGACACCGACAGGAGCCTAGGGCCCTCCATTCAAATATGAAATACCCAAGACCCGGTGTAGAGGGGCCCCAGAATGACAGAGTGTGCCCGAGCAGCGTACTAGATGGGGAACCCGACAAAAGCGTGTGACCCTCTGTTCAAATAAGAAGCACCTAAGACGCAATGTGAACCGCCCCTGGACGATCGAGTGTGCCCAAGCAGGTTCGCAGATGGAGCCTCGACGAGGGCGGAGGGCCCTAAGCAAGGGACAGGAAACGAAAGGGTTCTATACCAATGTAGAGGGCCTATGAGCGTATCGCGAGTGTGTTGGATTCAGTAGGTTAACAGAGACCAACGTGAAGGGTCTTGCAGCAACCGAGAATTCCCGGCATATTCCCTGGCAAAAGGTTCCCGGCTATGGCATAAAGAATCTTTCGGGCGAATGAAAAGAATCCGTGCAAGGCACCTGACCGATAAAAGTGCCCCGGCACGCTAGCAGGATGGGGCCCGACAACAGCGCACGTGCCCCCGAGTTAATGCAGATGAATTAAGGACAACAAGGCCTTAACCCTCCAAGTGAATGTATAAGGTCCACGGGAACAGCGTAAGACATCTGGACAGCAATAACCATAAAATATCGCAACCATCACTCTCCCTACATTGGTGACGAATTATTTTTGTTTACCTGTGGGCCCTTCGTTTTCGTTTGCGACTTTTGTTGGTCGCCTAGAGGCCCAATCCGCGACCGATTTTGTTGAGTTTGTGTTCATAAAGTGGTGTTCTTCGGCCGGCTATGGACCTTTCGGAGTTCTGAGCCTATGGGCCCCTTCGGAGCCGAAGGGAGCATGGCTCCGCGCACCCCCTCCCACTAGTGATCCACTAAACCCACTTAGGCTCAAACGAACGTTACCTTTTGACTACGTTTTAACATGGCGTTGCGTAGCCAGGAGAAAAACGACCTTTCGCCGAGCGTAACCAGGGTATAACCAGGGGGAAAAGGATGGAAACAGGCCCAAAATACGTAATGTAACTTAATGGCTTATTACTGGCCACTGCTAAATGATGAACATTCCGTGTTAACTATCATTGGACAACCGACATGCTTTCATTCAATAACGTGTTGTATTCAGAAAAGTTTCGAGTAGTCGTGATGCTGAGAAAAATAGAATGAGAGCTTAAACCTATCTTTAAAGGAGTGCCTAATGCTGAAAGACGTTATGCATTTCAATCAGCTGATGAGAGTACACAAAACACGCTTTTTGCGCTCTTGCTTTTAATATGGCGCAGATAATTATCTGCGCCAAAAGATCCAAAGCCCGGTACGCCTGTGGCGTGACGCCCATATTTGGCCTTTGTGGTCCAAACATACGTTGTTCAAATTCTTGTGCGGGTGAATGGAATGAGTTTCTTAACTGCATGCTGAAGCAGCCCGATCTAAAGCCTAAGAAAGGTATGGGGTATACTGTGGTAGCTGTTTGCACACGGCGTATTGTGATTCCTGAACTAGTGTCTTTTCCCGCTAAAATGTAACTGATCATGTGTGTGTTGAACTATATACTAGATGTGGGACTCGCATAGTGCACCTGTTCGGAGTTTGACATATTTTTACAACACATGCTCAAAAATTCATCTCCCATTCCCATGCACCTAAAATTGTAATGCTTGATTTTCACCCTATCTTGAGAAGGTAAAAGGTAACACGTCAAACCTAAGTTGTAAAATTTTTCTAAAACCTCTCAGCTGCTGTTAAACCTTTGTCAAAATGGACCGGCATGCTGACTGTGATGATCACTGTTGTGATCAATTCAACCCAGGGGACACCAATCCAATGTGGCATGTGCCTACCAGTCTGCAAATGGTAGCTAGCATGCTGACAGGATGTTTGGGGCAAATATAACTTTCTCCCAAGTAGGGTGGTAAGCTGCTCCATCTGTGGAAATGTTTGTTGACTTTACAAACTATAATTTATCAGCATGTCTTTGTGATTCTATCTGTTTTGTGTGTCAGGGAATGCATCTGTATGTTCTCAATATTCCAATTAAGTAATATTTGCCTCAAAATTTGGTTAGCTTTCCTAAATAAAAGCTGTGTCTCACCTCTTCCCCAACTAAATCTCATTGAAATCTGTTATAGTTTGCAGATTGGGATGCATACACAGCATGCATGTACTGAACCACACACCCACATGCATCAAACAGGCTAAACCAAATTGATTTTGGTTTAGGTTGGATTTTAAGTAATATTTGTATGATAATCTTGTTGATGATTCTTGTTTGACATTATCTTTGCAACATCATAGCATCCTTGAATTATGGTTCTCTGTGTACTCAAATTGGTGGTAACTGAGCACCTAATTCTGAGAGCTCAGATTTACAGCACACAAGTCATGTGGTCAACAAGAAGATGGCATTGCCAAGCAGATATCTACTTGGAGCCCCAAAATGGCCCCTTTATGGCTAAGAATTTAAGTAATTTAATTTTGGGGTGTGATATATCACAGAAACATTTATAGTAAAATTATTTGTTGCAGTATTGAAGCTACTTAGGAATTAGTTGTATGATGTTATGAGGTTTGTTTTAGTTCCATGTGATGCCATCTTTGTTTCATTCCATGTCAGTTATGTTTTAGCTTCTGGATTAAGAAAACACCTGATTTTCCATCATATCTTCTACCATGCAAATCAGATAACTCAAATATCATATTGGTACATGGAGTAACCACATCCTTGATGGAAATCATAATGACCAGTCCCATTGAGTGAACTTCCATTGCATCATATGCCAAACATGGCTTTAAAAATCTTCTGTTTTGTAATGCCAGATGGAAAATGGTTAGTGCTTATTTCCATGAATGATAAAATACAGCTGCATTCTGCCCCTCTTCCTAGACATTCATTTGATAACAAAGCTCTCAGTACCTTACACCACATAAATAGATGTAAAGAGCCATATAGTTATAGTCAACAACACTCACTGCTGAAACTGACGATCAGGTCTCCACCTATGCTGAGGGTGGCAGTGGTCCATAAGTATACAAGGGAGACCATGGCATAGGGGTAGTTCTGCAAAACATTGAAAGGAACCCTAGAGCTTGTCAAAGGTTCCTCAAATATTTGAAGAAGATCTTTGAGATTGCATATGGGGCCTGCATGCCTGCATACAGGGCTATATGTAGGGCCTGCATGTAGCCCTGTAGAATTATTCCTATACCTTTATATACAGCAGCACATCTAAGATTTTCTCCTTGATGATAGCCTTTAGTCTATCAAAACTGATGGTTAGAGGCCTTGCAGCCACCCAGATGCCTTACTCTGAAATGATTCTGATTGATTGACTGCTTGATGATCTGAGGACTAGTGGTGTATTTAACTTACAAGAAGCTATTGATTGGTAAAGCACAAAGAGTACTGTCAGACTAATTGCCAAGTCTCAGTTAGTACTGTTGCAAGTGATGTAGTAGAGGCGAGCATGCCAATACCTTTGCCCTGAGTTTTGTATGTGGTTCTGGGTGATCATGCAAAAATTTGGCACAGCATTCTGAGGAGTTTTGGGGAAAACAAATTTGGTCCCCAAGCCTTTGTGCCAGACTTCCTTTATTAGCTGACTAGCAGGGGAGGTCAAATTAATTATCCTATAGAGTCACTTAGTGATAAGGCTAATATCCATGCAAGAAGCTGTGCTGAGTGAGGACATCAGCATTTTGATGCTCCAACTCAAGTAAGTAATTCATGTGCCTAAATTTGGAATGAAAAACATTAAGCCACATAGGGTCCATCGCCAATCAGATTACCAAGAACAGTCCATGGTTAAGCATTCTGTAGGCCTCCATCATGTGAATTGCTTTTTAGGCTTCTGGCTGGAGCATAGTATCTGAATTACAGAGGGCACCCCTGGTCCGTAGAACGGTAGTAAGGTCTGCATTGTTCTTGTCCAGCTGCAAAGATGGCATTTGAGGCCATTTTTACTGGGACCCTAAATGCTGCAGAAGTTCCTCACTCGCACATGTCAAAATGCTGACAGAGGCTGGAGTCACACAGCTGAATTGCGCTGCAAACTTATGCATTCAGGAGTACATTATGGCATCCAAGGGAGACGAGAGGTACCGAATACTGGCACTGCGGTGGTTAAACTTCTCGTCTGGGGAACCAAAAGTGCGCGATTTGGTTCCTCGCAGTGCCTGCACTTTCCTTTGAGGACGAGAGGCAGGCGACGGGACATGGCCTCATCAGCTGAGTGCGCGGTGAGGCCCCAATGTCGTGACGAGGAAAAGTAGATATGGGCACAGAGCTTCCTTTAGTCCGTAAAGAACGGTCATCTGAGCTTACTAGAACTAGGGCTCAGGGTCGTTCCCTTGCCCACATTGTCGTGACAGTTAAGGTCATCTTGGTGAAGGAAAAACATCAAAATACCTACTAGCCCCTCGATGGGAGAATAATTATTCTAGCCATATGTTTGACTAAAATGCATATATTTGTGTCAGCCGATCCAGGATTTGCCTGCGCAAGCATAAGTATCGCCTTGGAATATGTTTTAGCGTCGGGATTTTTTTGTCGTTAAACATTCATGTAAACGGATAAAATGTGGACGCAGGATGATTTCCTGTTTAGTTCAGCAGACAATGCTGTAATTCAATTTTTGGCCAGCTACTTGATTTCATTAGCCAAGAGGCAACTGTGGTCCTGCCGGCCGCCACCATATGACATTTATTGCCCACTGGTTTGAACGTTTTGAAAGATTTGTTTCACCATCATGTGGCAAAGTGACGAGGTAACAGGAACTGAAAACTTCGAGAGCGTCACTCCATTTTGACTGCGGGGACGCTCGTAAGCCGGACCTGTTGCGCGGGGTCTCGGCCTGGACGGCCCCCGGGCTGGAGCGCCGCTGCAGCTACTCTACGGGCCGGCGGCCGTGCGTCACGTATGTGTATAGTCGGGGCTTCATTCCGGCACGACCGACCGCTTATCACGGGCCGCGACCATCTGTCACCGCCAGGTGTTTGTCATGTCCCATCCGAGCGGCGCACTGTTTACGGCCGGCTTTGGACCAGAACCGGCCCATCACCGGCACCCCGGCTGGATCAGAGCTGGCCCCCACCAGCACCCCGGCTGGACCTGAGCTGGCCCCCACTGGCACCCCGGCTGGATCAGAGCTGGCCCCCACCAGCACCCCGGCTGGACCAGAGCTGGTCCATCACCGGCACTCCCGCTGGACCAGAGCTGGTCCATCACCGGCACCCCGGCTGGACCAGAGCTGGCCCATCACCGGCACCCCGGCTGGATCAGAGCTGGCCCCCACCAGCACCCCGGCTGGACCAGAGCTGGCCCCCACCGGCACCCCGGCTGATCAGAGCTGGCCCCCACCGGCACCCCGGCTGGACCAGAGCTGGTCCATCACCGGCACTCCGGCTGGACCAGAGCTGGTCCATCACCGGCACTCCGGCTGGACCAGAGCTGGTCCATCACCGGACCCCGGCTGGACCAGAGCTGGCCCCCACCAGCACCCCGGCTGGACCAGAGCTGGTCCATCACCGGCGCCCCGGCTGGACCAGAGCTGGCCCCCACCGGCACCCCGGCTGGACCAGAACTGGCTCCCACCGGCACCTCGGCTGGACCAGAGTTGGTCCATCACCGGACCCCGGCTGGACCAGAGCTGGTCCATCACCGATGCCCCGGCTGGACCAGAGCTGACCCCCACCGGCACCCCGGCTGGATCTCGCGTGATGCCCCCGGTCCGCTGAGCGGACTGCCACCACTGGCTCTCGCCGGCGCCGCGTTCGGCTGGCGGCAATCAGCCGTCCCCAGCCTGCTGTCGTGACAGACCTCTGCCACGTCACCGGCGCCTCGAGGCTGTCTGCACGGCCCCGGCACCTCCGGGGCAGAGGTGCCCACCGCCGCTGCCGGCGCGGACTGGCCGGTCGTCACCCCGCCGGACGGCACACACCGCACGAGCGTCTCCGAGTGCATTGCTCTGTACGCAGGCACGCATCCCCCGGCAGGGCGCGGGTGCGGTCGGCGATCGGCGCCGAGAGGTGCTGTTGACCGTGCGGGGGTGCCGGGGCGTTCGGCGTGCGTCCCGGGGTGCTGGGAGGTGCAACCCGCGTCACGCTTTTGCTGCCGGCGGCTGCCGACGTGTCGCTAGTGTCTGCGCCGGGGCCGTGGGTCGTGACCTGACCCGGGGCCGTGGGCCAAGACCTGACGCCGGGCTGTGGGCCGTGACCTGACGCCGGGCCGTGGGCCGTGACCTGACTCCGGGTCGTGGGCCGTGACCTGACTGACGCGGGCCCGGGCCGTGACCTGACGTCGGGCTGCGGGCCGTGACCTGACGCCGGGTCGTGGGCCGTGACCTGACGTCGGGCTGCGGGCCGTGACCTGACGCCGTGCCGTGGGCCGTGACCTGACGCTGTGCCGTGGGTTGTGACCTGACTCCGTTCCGTGGGCCGTGACCTGACGC